CCCCCGCAGCCAGCCTGCAGCCTCTGCGTTTCCCAGGTTGCAGGAGGGAAGGGCCAAGCGCCCCCCCCCCACGTTCCCTTGACGATGGGAAGAGCTTGCCTGCCAAAGACGGGGCGGCTGAGCGGGCTGCCCCACTTCCACAGCAGAGGGGGGGGCTGAGGGGCCCCAGCCTGGGGCCAGACTATAGCCCAGAGCCGGCCGGATGGGGCTGCCCAGCCCTGCCTAGAGCCTTCCAGCAGAGGGGGCTGTTCTCCCCCAAGTGCCCAGGCTACCCGAGGCCTCCCCCCCCCCCATCCCAGGAAGGGGATCCCTCACGGAGAAAACGCCCCCCCCCTCCGAGGAGGTTCAGGGGCAATTTCTGGGTTTGGGGGCGACCATCATCAAAGGAGGCTGAGTCTCTCTTGTCCTCACGCTTCCTTCTAACTCCCAGCCCTCTGCACATGCTCACTTGCCACACGCTGCCCTTGCCAAGGGAGGATTGGCATCCAAGCCCCGGCTTGGCAGGTGCAGCCGGGGGGGGGACTTTGTGCTCCCTGCATCCTCCGCTCGGTGCGTCCACTCAGTTGACCCCGTCCTCTTTTCATCCCGGCCGCTTGGGAACATTGGCAAGAGACGATGGGCGGACGGCTCTCATTGGCCGGCCAGGAATCAGGTCTCCCCCATTCCCCTCCTGGGTTTTTTCCATTCGGATTCCGCAGCTTCCTCTCGGAATTACAACGGAGGCCCAAATCGGCTCCTCCGGCTGAACCTCCAGCCCACACTGGACCCCTCGGCCTTGGAAGGGTCAATCCGGGGGGAGGGAGAAATCCCTCTTCTCACAGAAGGAAACCTCCAGAGAAATGCCAGAAGGAACTGTTTTCTCCTCCTTGACATAACATGGAAAGTTTTTTTTGGGGGGGGGCACGTCTCCTTTCTTTCCGTATTTACAGCCGTGCAAAGGAGCCGCAGTCTTCCAGCGGGGGGGGGGGGACATCCTTCCCAGGCCAAAGAGGGGCTCTGGACCCCCCCTCCCAAAGGAGCTGTCAGCCCCTCTCGGAGCTTCTTCCAGGAGTTCAGCCTGGCTGGAGCCTCTTTGGGGGAAATGGGCGCAGGACAGCCAATAGATCCAAGGGGAGAAAGCACTTCTCCCTCTTTCAGGACTGGAAATGGGGCAGGGGGAGAGAAAGCACGTGGCACAACCACAGAGGGCATTTCAAACTGGGCTCCCCTTTTCTGAAGAAAGGATGAGCTGCCGTCAGTGCAGAGAAGAAGGAAGGAAGGAAGCCACAGATTTCACAGCTGCAGCCCCTGGGGCCTCCTGCTCTCTCCCCACCCCAATAGAGTTTTCCCCAAGGCTCCGATGTCTGTGGAGGCTCCCCCTCATCCAGGCCACGGTTACCCCAAAGGCACCTGGGGTAACTTTCTTGGTCTCCCCTTCCCAAAGGCTGCCAGAGTCTGGGCCACTCCTGTCCGAAAGGACGAGTGGTTTTTCCGCTGACTTTGTGGGTCCTGGTTGCATAAACAATGACTGGGGGGGGNAGCGGAGCTGTCCGGAGAGCCCGGCGCTCTGCGCGTGTCCCGGCGCCGCGCCCGCCTTCCTTTTCCCTGCGGGGCAGAGGGCCAAGGCGGACGGCGGGTCCTGCCTGAGGCGGCGGGGAAGGTGGGGGACGGAGCAGAGCTCCGGGCGATGCCCGCTCTGTCTGGGGGAGCCTCCTGAGCGCTGCAGCGGCCCCCACGACCCCCGGGGGGCGCCAGACGCCGTCGCAAAGGCAGCGCCCCTCCCGCAGGAAGCAGCGACCCCCGTCAGGCTACTCAGAAATCCCGGGGGACCCCAAGTAGATGAAAGCGGGCGGCGGCCGAAGGAGGGACGGAAGGGCGAAGGGGCCCCGGTCAGCGGCGCCCTCAAAGGGCTGCGGATTGGAGGACGAACTGCCGGCCGGAACGTTTGCCTGTGGAACTCACGGCCTCAAGGTGTGACTGTGGCCGCCAGCCGAGCCGCAAAGACAAAATGAACCGGTGTTCAGAGGGACTCTGCCTGTCAGCCCCGAGCAGCCCTGCTTGGCTCCCCCCGAGAGGATGGGCTAGAGGGAGGACTTGCTCCCTTTCTCCCGCAGCCCCCACGGAGCTTCTTGGAATCAGGCTGGCAACGAGAGACCTTGAACGCCTCCCTCCTTCACAACAACCCTGCGAGGGAGGGAATGTCAAAACTGCCCAATGGGAGTCTGGCCCAGACCAGGAGAAATTCCCCTGCTGCCCCTGTGGGGTCATTGCCAGCAGCAGCACCCAGACGGGCTTCCTTGGCTTCGGGGGGGGGGGGGAGACCCTGGACCCACCAGAAGGTCAGAGGGCCCCCCCCACCTCTTGCAGACGGTCTCTTTGGAGAGAGAACTCAATTGGTGGCTCTCTCTGGAAAGGGAGGGACGGGGGAGAGAACCGTTCCCACAGCTGGGGCTGAGAGCACAGACAACACACTTGCACACACACAGACACACACACACACACACACACACACACAGAGGGGCCTGTGGGGCGGGGTCTCCCAGGTCCCTTCCCTGTGGTGGACTTGGCGCTCTTTCACAGCAGCTTTTATTTACACAGCTTGGGAAGAGGAGGGGGGGTGGAGGGACCAGCCCCCCTCCCAAGGCATTCTTTCCTCTCCAG